AATCGAAAAGGGAAATGAAAAAAAAAAATACAAAAAAAAAAAAAAAAAAAAAAAGAAGGAAAACTCAACAGAGGGAGTGAGTACTAAAGACAAGAATAATGGAATCAACATCAACTCATGTAATATCCATTACGAATGGAGAAGAGAATATTGCTCCAAGGAAGAATAATAAAACAAAAACATTCCATTTTTCTATTTCATTTCCACCCGTTTTTTCCCGTCTTAGAGAAAACAAAATCCACTTCTCTCTTTTCTCCATCGGTTCCAATCTCAGGAATAAGCAAAAGAAAGACACTAAAAGAATTATCCACAGCATCAAAGTTGGGATCTCCCTTGTTTTGATTTCACTTCTGTATCTCTTGGAACCTCTCTATGAGCTAGTTGGAGAAAATGCTATATGGGCTATCATGACTGTTGTCGTCACCTTTGAATTTTCAGCAGGTACTAACACAAATCAAGATAGTTTTTCAAGTTTCTAGTACTCTTACGTATCCTTATTATTAATCATGGCTTTGAAGCAATTAATGTATATAAACTAATTTTATTAACATGCAGGTGCTACGCTAGGAAAAGGTTTAAATCGTGGAATGGGAACTGTATTAGGAGGTGGACTTGGTATCATGGCCGCAGTTTTGGCACAAAAACTTGGTGGGGTAGTTGCCAACCCGATTATCATTGGTGCTTCTGTATTTTTCTTTGGTAAGTTTCTAATAAACATCTTAACTGTTGTTTAATAATTTCAAGTTGTAGTCAATTACAGTTTGTTTTTAATCAAAATTGTAAAGTTTCGACAAATGCAGCTGCAACTGTGTTTGTTGAAACCTTACAAACTGCAATATTGAGAGCAACACTGGTTGGTTTAAGAAAGAAGAATAGTGATCATTAATTAACTTGGACGTGTGCTTAGCTTTAAGCAGTTAGTGACAAAGTTTAATTTCAGGAACAATTGCGACATATTTTCGATTATTCCCAAGCGTCAAAAAGAGATACGATTACGGAGTGATGATTTTGATCCTCACTTTTAATTTGGTTGTGGTGTCCGGTGTGCGCACTGAAGATCAGAAAGTTTGGGAAATAGCACGTGATCGTCTTTTAACAATTGTCATGGGTTTCGTTGTGTGCATTAGTGTGAGCTTGTTGGTCTTCCCCTTGTGGGCCAGCGATGAACTTCATGATTCCATTGTCACTAGATTCCAAGGCCTTGCCCATTCATTACAAGGTATATACATCGCTCATACACCAAGTTTAGTCACTTGGCAATTTTTCTTTGTCAACTTTAATAAATAACTTAATAACGTAGTATTCTCATACTAAATTACAATCAAATGTGAATTATTTAGTTCAACTTATTTAAACAAAATGATTTTTCATTAACTTTCTGATGGAATGTTAAAAAAGTGATAACAAAATATATATAAATATATATATATATATACGTGTGTGTATATATACTTGGATCTTAATTAGAACCATATTGGATAATGCCTGTCTACCTTGCTAATTTTGAAACTACTAGTAAATATTAGTAAACCTTAAAAAAATTATAAATTAAAATGTTTTAAATAATTTAATTGATAATAAAAATATAGGAAACGAAAATGTTTAGGATTAAAATTATCAAAAAAGTGTTTATTTGATAAGAGATTTTTTCATAATAATTTATAAATGTTTCATTATACTTGGTTTAAATTAAATAAATTTGAGTATTATTAAAATTTAAAAAAAATTGAATAATTAAGTAAAAACGAAAAATATTGAGTTAATTTCATGTAAAAGCTGTCATGTGTTACAAAATAAGGAAGATAAGTAGTTAATTATCTGAGATAAAGGGCATGCATAGAAATTATTCTTTTAAAAATAAAGACTCAAATTTATGATAGGATGCTAATATTCACTAGCCAAAAAAGAAATTTTAAAGTAAGTGCGACATGAATCTTAATAATAATTATTATTTAAAGAGGACAATTGTATCAATATAAAATTTGGAGTATTGGATCAAAAGTGTTCGCTTAGTGTTATTGCACCTTCAACACACATATATACTAAACTGAGTTAATTTGTCACCCTAAAAAGAAGAAATAAAATGCTGACTTACATTTGATTTACTCAAACTCTGACTAGGTGATCATTTTGTATTAGAAGTCTTTTGCATATATACCACTATAAAGCATAAATTATATACACCTAAAAGGTACTTTGGAAAATATTATTATTCTCCAGATACATATCCCCTTTCTAATGCAAAGAGTCGTACTCAATCTTGAATGCTCTCCTAGTGGACGGCAAGAATGGGTTTTGTTGAAGAGTTTAATAATTTTAATTTATTGGCATCCAAACTTGTATTATATTTGATATAACATGAAAATCAAATTCTTTATTATAGGCCCATGAGATAGTCTTTGATATAAAATTATAATTCTTTTGTCTTTGGTAACATAGTTTGCTTGGAGGAATATGTCAAATTTGGTACTGAAAAAGAAAATAAGCCTGCTGCTAACTTCACTATTTGCAAGTCGTTGTTGGACTCCAAATCAAAGGATGAGTTACTGGTACGTATATCCAAACTGGGATATCTGTCTAATCTCATGTTTATTTTTAGGTTTGGTATATTTTTTATCAAGGTGAAGAAGGGATAGAAGTGAATAATGAAAATATATCCTATATATGTTTCAGGCAAATTTCGCAAAATGGGAACCCTGGCACGGAAAATTTGGATTTTTCTACCCTTGGGAGAAATACCTAAAGATGGGAGAGGTTCTTGGAGAACTTGCAGCTATTATTCTTGCTGTAGGAGGTTGCCTCCAAGACTCAACTACGGTAGGTATATAATACATTTAGGAATAGTGAATGAGCAATCCTTAGTGTGGTTAATAATACATTTGGATCTTTTTTTATCCATGGCTTATTTTGGGTTTAAATGGTCAATGGTCATTGTGGTTATTATAGCCCATGGCATTGGCATCAGCGAGTGAATTGGAATCATGTGAAGCAATTGGGTCAGGGATTGTGTGGACTCTGCGAGAACTTGGAGACAGCATGAAGCAAATGAGGAAGTGTGAGGCAGAGTCTCACATATCAGCAAAGTTGAAGGCGGCGAGAGCAGAGCTATTGGTGATTTCCACGTCCAAGATAGCAGCTATTGAGAATATGGATGCACTAGCATTAACAAGCTTCGTGTTCTTACTCAAGAAAGTGGTGGACAAAGTAGAAGAACTCACCAAAGAGGTGGAACAAGTTGGAGATATTGCTGGTTTTCGAGCTCATTCAACACTATAGTCTCTTCGTAGCTAGACTCTATGCATATGCATGTCCATTACACCAGATGCACTACTTTTGCATTTGGTGGTTAAATAATATTTTTTTTTACTAAACATCATTAACGGTTTAATCTCTTTTAAAAATCAGCAACTAAAACCTTTTTTGACATAGTGATACATTTTTAGTTGCTTTGAGGCATGCGTGAATGTGAGAAAAATAATCAGTATCCTTACTTTTCAAGCTATTTAGCTCATATATTTTATAACCACCCCTCAAATTCTAGTAATAGAGTGCTAAATGACCAGATATCCACATCAACATAAAATAGTTTAAATGGCCGCCAACAAGCAGAGTGCGGTTCTCTATGATTGACTCCGTTTGAATTAAGAATTTCAGCTTTTAAATAAGGTATACCTATACTTATTGAACAACTACACAAAAAATTCATGTTCACAGAGAATAAACTTCAACATCTAAGAAAAGGTAATTCTCTCCCAACCTGTTCAACCAAGCTTGAATTCCCAACGGGAGAAATATTCTAATCTAATTTCCGATGTATGGTAACTCAAATAAAATTATCTTCAAATTAAGATATGGAAAATAATTAGGATCCATTTTTAATAAATTTCATTGCATTTTATGAATCACTTGGCCCTTTATGCTTTTCTTATCTTAATTAAGAGATTAATAACCAATAATTAATTATTAATTTATTAATCAAAGATATATATATGTATATATATATATATATATATATATATATAAAAGAAATGTGTTTTTCTTGATGTTTGTTACAAAATAATAATATATAAATGAATGAAAGAGTTTATTTATGGAAGAATTATAAACAATTTTAGAAATAATAAGTAATTTTGGAGGGAATGGAATAGAGAAACACTGATATTAAGAGTCAAGTGATTGATGTCTCCTCCTTAAAACTGACAGTGTTTATAATTACAAAAGTCATAGACTTTAATTACGAAATTCAAAAACAAATCATAGATAAGAATTATACAATAAAATATAATATTTCTTTTTGATTGACGAATTTGGCTAACAGAACAACTATTATTCTTGTTCTTTGTGTTAATACTTTTTATTGATTGGTCGAACGAATCCATGATGATATATATATATATATATATATATGAAATATTTTTATAAAAAATAATAATTTTCTGATTTTTCATATTTTCACTCTTGAATATGGGTAAGCTAATTTCTCTGAGTAAAATTTTCATTTTAATTTTTTGTTTTAACTTCCTTCGCATCCTGTTTTAGTAATTTCAATGAGTTTGAACAATTAAGAAACTCAATTACCGATACTCCTTTGTAATCATATGAAAGAAGAAGAAAAAACGTATTACTAATCACAAATACCTTATAAACCGACAGAAAGAAGTATAAGAAAAGCAAGGCAAGAAATCATCTTCCAACATAGGATAAGTGCTTATTATTCAATACAGGAAGGTGGATGAAGACAAAACATGGAGATTGCAACTTGATAAGAAAGAGATTAAAAAATGAAAAGCAGTGAAGAAGACTGAAACGGTCAAACCTGGCCACAAAATATAAACGTTGGTTACAGAAATTAATGAAAGAGCATAAGAAAGATGGGCATTTCTTCAGAAATTGCAGCAGCTGCAATTATATTTTTGTGCCTGTGGAGTGTTGCAGACAGCGTTCCCAACACCAACATCACTACGATTCTGTGCAACGTTGGGACGTACACCTCAGGTGATCCTTTTGCTTTGAGTTTATCCTATGTTGTTGAGGAATTGGAGACAGAGACTCCAACTCGGAAAAATTACGATTACTACAACATTTCTCCTTATCCTAATGCCTTTGCCAATGGACATGCTGCTTGCAACCTTAATTTGACTTCCTCTGACTGCAAAACCTGTCTTGGTGTTGCCAAAACGACCGTGTTCAGCGGATGTCCCAAACGCATAGGAGCTCGTTCGGTGCTGCATGATTGTACAATCAGGTATGAGCAGTACCCATTTGATGATTAGAAGAGATGCATAATTATTGGACCTTTGTTTCTCATGTTTCCTCCAGAAGGCTTTGTAACCAATAAATTTGTTTCTGTGCCACAAATATGGCTTACTTATGAAGTAAAAAACATTCAATTTGCTTATATAATGTTGGGTTATGAAAAATTTGGCATATAATAAAAAAGGTCAATCTGGTTTATATGCCTGCGTTGATATGCCAGAATATTTAACATGCGAATTGGTGTTGGATAACATATATGTAAATAGGATAACTGGAGAAGTTAAATATGGAAGCATGTATTATAAAGATTTAATTTTGGATAAATTTTTCTACAAATACTTATGAAGAAAAAAAACAAAATTAAATTTCTCACTTTTTTAATTTTTTAAAAACTTACATGAGAGAGCCTAAAAAAAGTTGAGTAAAAAATAAGCTGATTTAACTCATGAGTGATGTTTGATTTATATTACCTCTTTATTTATATATTTTATTTTTGTAAGTTCTTTATTAAGAAATTTATCCACGGTAAACTACCAACTTGGAAGGCTCAAAGGTAAAAAACTAGGAACATTCATGGATTCTTGAAGTTGAAAGGAGGCAAAGAAAGAAATTAAAAAAATATTAATGAAGCAGATTACCAACCAACCAACCAATATTTACAAAATTATTAAAAAATAATAATAAATAAAAAAAGGCTAATTACGCGTTTGAATGTCTCAAAGATTTGCATATATACATGAAAAATTGGATGAATATAATTTAATTTTTCAATTCCAAATTTGAAGAAATACATCGTAGTAATTTAAAATTAGAAAAAAGATATATATATATATATATATGTTTTGATTGTATTGATATTAGAAGAAATATCTAAATCATTCTCACCCTTAATCTCGATTGAAAAGTTATTCTAATATATCAAAAAATCTCACATACTCGATAGTCAAGGTTAAAAATAATTTGTAAATATTTTTTTCTTTTAATTTATCAAAGTGTCTTTCTAATAACAAAATCGAGATAACTCAGCAAATGTCAAAACAAATAAATACCGTGAATGTGTTGACCCTAACGATATTAGTATACTTATGATTGGAATTACTTCTATTTTCTTTTAAACAAAGTTACAAACATTCGGCAAATCATTTGGTGAAACAAGTGAAAAATTAATCGATATTTATAGCTCATAAACTGAAGAAGAAAACAGTCAATCATATTCGTAACACCAGACCCTGCTGATACTAAGAGAATTTCAAATCTCAAACCAATGAAGGTGTCATCGTTAGCTACTTTATTAGGAATCTTACGTACAAAAGGGGAGTGCCAAAGTTGATAATCTGTCATAACAACATCGGTTTATTCCAGTAAAATGAACAGAACCCTACCATATCACAAAACATAGTACCAGAATGTCAGTACAGCTACAATGCCACTTAAAATACAAAGTGTATCCAACCTACTTTCGTTTCTAATCTTCTCCTCCTTCAACTTATTTTGCACTTTTGAGTACGTAAGACAGGATTCAAGCACTTCACTATAATTTTTACTCCTTCGGCAGCTAAGTGCTTCCTTAAGAATAAGCAAACTGTTCCTCCCATTAACATGAGCACCTTCCATGTCTTCCAACTGCATACTCAGCTCTGTTGATTTAAGAGTTGTTTGAACACCCTCTTCTTCAGTCTGAACCACTCTAAACTTCATAATGAGGATGCATTGCACTACTTGAGAAGGAAGAAAGTCCTTGGCAGAGAGAACAGATCCAAAACGAAAGACAAAATCCTTATCTGTTGGCCAATGTCTTTGTCCATCTAAAGGGATCCAGCTAGCAAGATTTGCAGCTTGCTTAATTTTCCTGTTAACTATGATCCAACTTAGCAAGAGACCATCACGAAGCTCCTGCCATAGCTTTCCATCTCTCTTTTCCCTTTCCATTGATGTAATTGGTGGCAATCCATCAGAAACTGAAAGGGTAACCACTCCATCATTGTTATCATCTCTATCTGCACAACTGAGAAGATCAATCCTAAAAGGACAGTTGTAGAACCAACCATCATAGCCATTTGCGTTTGGAATTCCCCATAGAACTTTGGAGCAGATTGGTTTCTCCTTAAACCTGATATCCACAATGGAAACAAAATCTGATGGAGAGATGCTTTCAGATTCATTCATGTCCCCATAATATTCAGCCTCAGTCCAATCATCAGGGTACTGAAGATAGTTGTTCCATGGATACTCTCCTACCTCCTTGTTTACAATAAGAGGAAAACAATCTGCATAGAATTTTCTGAATCCGCCAACAGAAGATATTAAACTTTTGACATCTTCCCTATTGGTTGAAGGCCACACAGATGAACACACATTTTCCCATAAACTCTCTTCTTTTGAGATGGAACAAAATGCTGCACAAGTGCAAGCTGCACTGGCCAATGAAGGGCCATCAAGGCGTCGTAATATGTCGTAGAACAGATCACTACTCAATGAGGCAATACTCTCAACAGGTGCAACTGCCATAGCAACAATCCTGTGACTGTCAAAGAACATAATTCAAATCAAAATAAAGAGCACAGAAATGTATTTTTTTTAACAAAGGAAAACATAATGAATTAGTCTTTTTAATACATTAGCCAATGAAGGCGCATAGAATATTTTGGTAAAATGTATACACTATTCTGTAAAGACTAATACCTGCATAGTGCTCATGAGAACCAACAGGAATCAGTTAGTTTGTCAGAAACAACCACCAAAATATACAGCTACTCAATCCAAATTTCAATGATTACTACAAAACGTATGCCTATAAAGCTATGCTTACTTCATGAAAATGTTTCAGAACTGCACTTTACGGAATTCTTCCTTTTAAAATGGCCAACCTTTAAAATGCCAATTTTTAGTTCTGTCAAGCAGTCAAGCCTTTCCTAACACCTAACAATACAATATAACATGGAAGTGCTGGAATATCCAGTCCAGAGACTCGGTCCAAATATGTAGCTACTTCAGAAACTCCTATAGAGATACTCTAATACTCCTTATAAACTAGACGTTTTTTTTGGTTTACCACAGTATCCTCCATAAGAGACAATTTCACTTGAGACATGATCAAATACTAAATATAAGCACCATTTCAGGTAGGAATAGGATTTATAAGGAATACTTCATTATAAATTAAATCCATCATTACCATACATGTCTCCTACGTAATTTCCACGCCCTACCTAGAGCTACATAACCATTCACAGGCATAATGCCCCAGGGATAGGAAAGAAAGCTGCATAAGCCATGTGCTGGCACAAACTATCGTATTGAAATAACTACTACATTAATTTCATTTTCAATGAAAATATTGATATTGACATATTTTGGGAGAGTAATTGAATCTGCTCATACTGCAATTACGAAGTAATGCAAGGGGAGCTTGCAAATTAGGTGTCTATCATTGGTTTGTTTCAGAACTTTTTCTTATGCATCTAAGAAGTAATCCAAGTATTATAGTGAAGATAATATCAGCGTTGAATTAGTTTAGTGGAAACTAATTAAGTTAATACTAAAACAGGGACAACTATATCAGAATAACCATATAGCCATGGGTTTAACTATGACAAAACACCATAAAGCAGATCGCAGAGAATGAGTGATCTCAGCAACTGATTCAGTACTAAGCATTCAAGGTAAGCTACTTAGAAACACTCGATTTCATTCTTTGGTAAAGATGCTTCCTCATGACAGTATACTAGAAAGTAGAAATAACATACGGAGCATTGTAAAGTATACTAGTGAAAAATCCATATCAATCATCTATGGACTTTGATATCTTTAATAGACTGTTGGACATCAGGGTTCCAATAATTTAAGACATTTAATTCACATATTAACAGAAAAGTCAGCATGCATTTGTGGTAAACCATGGGCGTGAATATGCATTTAATAGAATAATAGATGGCAGGTGGCACTCAAGGGATCAGGTACTAAGATTTCCAAGGAAAACGAACTCTAGCTTGTACAAACTGCGCACATTCATGAAGAAAATCCATTACACCAAGAAGGAGGCCTGTGGCGTACTTGAAAAATCAAACACCGCCGAAATTGATTTAGCGGCCTTATATTGAAACATGTTAAAACTTAAATTTAAGAGAAAAAATATTGAATGAAAACATCCAATACGTGAAAAGTTGGTGTAAAACTGTAAATGAAAGTATTTTCCTTTAATAATTTCATTAATTATACTAAATATGAATAGTTTCCTACAATTTCAGCATTAAAAATGAAAGAAAATCATAACAGATTTTCACTGCGGAAATTTTCAATTTTATCAAACACTAATAATTGAAAACTCCAAACCTGGTGTTCAATATAGATGCCAATAATAAAAGTATATCAAGTTAAGCACCAAATAACAAAAGAACAAAATTAAGTATGGTACCTTAGCTGCTTTTAGTGTGTTAGGTCAAAAGTGAAGTACACCAGCTAACTTGTTCAACCTTTTAACATTGACCTTTATTGGTAGGATGAAACTTTTAGAAAATAGAACCAAAAGTACTGCACCTACGTTTTATTACTAAAAAGGAAAAAAACAATCAAGCTAAGTATGTGTGAGGTACAATTCATAACTCCACATACAATAAATTTAGAAAGTAAAATTTTGTAGTGTAGATTCCCCCTGGAAATTACAAGCTATGCGTTGAATAAAAGTTATGACAAACAAGCATTTAACCGAGGAGCCTTAACCATTAACCAAACACGCACTTAAAAACAACCTGAAACCCTTTACATGATTGCAGCAGAATGCTCTTTTACTTCAACTATTCAACATTACAAAAAATGATCAACAAAAGGTGAACAAGATTCCCTTCCATCAAACATAAACAAGAGTGAAAAAACATGAGAAAAGGCCACCTCATATGTGGGAAATGCAAATTCAGGAAGTGAAAATTGGGAGGAGGGAGAGAAAGGGTTGTGAGTAGTCACCTTAAAAATTATCAACAAGAGAAAGGTGCATAAAACAGAAGAAACGGAGCAGAGGAAATGAAAGGGAAAAAAGTGATTTTGAAGCAAACCCAGATGAAAAAAGGAGAATTTGAGGTGAGCCTATAATGTAAGAAGATTGGTTTAAGGGTCACAATCCATTAGCTATGGGAAGAAAGGGGTACTGTCCTTGTATCGATCTGAAGCTTGAAAAGACATGAACATGAGGCGGGTTTTGGAGGTCAGCGATCTCCTACTCAACTCTTGAGGTGAACGCCATGCACTGCCCCTTCCTTTCACCGCACAGATTATGCCACGACGCAAAATCTCTTTTTGCAGTAACAATCAGATGATTTATTTTAGGTATTCACGAAATCATTAGAAAGAGACACATTGTCTGATTCATTACATTGAATTTTCTTAAGTTGATACAGTATTAAATTAATGTTTTTTTTTTTTCTTTTATCGGTAAGCATTAATGAAGATTCAAACTTAAAATTTTATAGATACTTCTGTCTTAACGTGTAAATATTAGACTAACTTCAATTGTATTTTAATGCTTTTATTGATTTGGTAATTATTTTTCATTTCTTTTATTTGGTAGGATTTATTTGATTAGGATTTTAAATGACTTTTTTAGTTGAACAAAATTTTATAAATTTTAAAAGATTTTATAAGATTTTTATGACTTTAAGACTTTGTAGGATTTTGTAAAATTTTAAATCAAGATTTTAATAAATTCTGCAAAATTTTTAAGTCAAGATTTTAATAGATTTTACGGGAATTTGTAAATTTTGTAGAATTTCGTGAATTTTTAATATACGATAAAAGTTTAAGATTTTTTTCATATATTCAAATTTAAAGAGTCAAAAATAATTTTTTAAAATTTTTAATTACTTTCAATTATTCACTCACGAAGAAATATTTTTAGTAGTAAATTCTAAGATACCACAATGTCTTATGTTAAATTTTTTTTAAAAAAAAATATAAAATATCCTAATTTTACAATATAAAAATTTAAAAAAAATATAATAAAAAAAGAAATAAAATAATTGTTGAGTCATAAAAGGAGGAAAGATAATATAAACAAACTCAAGGAAGAAAGAGAGATCGCTATATTTGTGCTAAGAGGGACTAAAATACTTTCTCATCTCATTCTACTTACAAAAATCTTAACTCAAATCATATTATATATATATATATATTATATATCTAATAAATTGATTACAAGGTCTTGAATATCTACGGTTGATTGTAGAGATCATGATATCAATTTTAGCTTTCACATTTCCTTTTTCTTGATGCGTGTTATAAAAAAATTATTACTTAAAAGTTAAAATTTTAAGCATTTTTCTTTGTTATATATACGAGGAACAAACTCAATTAAATAAAGCAAAACAACAGCAACTCAATTAAAGAAAACGGAGAGAAAAATAGAGAAAGTCAATGGCATTGTCATTTACGTACTAGAGTTTCACCAAATAGGGGAGTGAAATGGGAACAGCATTACAATATTATATATGAACAGTAATGCAGTATTATTAGTAGAGAAAAAAAAATTAAGAAGACAAGAGCATAGAAAAAAAAATGAAAAACTTACTTGGAAATTCTTAAAGCACTTAAAAAGTCACTTCAAACAATCCTCCAAATTTTGATGGATTTGGTGGAATTGTTTTATGAATTTGGTATTTATAAATACTACTAAAAAGTCATTTAAAACTCGTCTAATACAATAATCCTTTAAAAATCTTATATTTTTGAATACCAATAGATTATTTTTAAGTTGTAAAAAGTCACAAATGAATATCAATGAATTTTAATAGACTCTTTAAAAAATCTTGAAATATACTGTTATAATGTTATTTAATTAAAATAATGTTATACATGATATGTCTATTAAATTTATAGTAATTATTTTAAAAATTATAATCTAATATAATTTTTAGTTTGTCAACGTTATAAAATTTTTCACACCAATAATGTATAAAAAATAATAAATTCGTTTTTATCGGAATAAAACTTTTCTGCATTTTCATTTTTTTGATTATAATGTTTGTAAAAGACAAATAAATGTACTAATTTCATTAAAAAAAAACAAATAATTCCATGTAGACATATTATAAAATGATATAAGAAGATAAGAAACGTTACAAATGTCTCAATTGCCCTAAAAAAACAAATGTCTTTATTATAAAAGAAATGAAGTCTTTCTGTTTTTCATTCATGGAATCAACAAACATCAATTTTCTTTCCTTTTTTCATTCTCTTTTTGCTAAACAGTGAGAGAAATTTGAAGTAGATAATAAATAATTAAAAAATTACTTTAAGAGTGTGAAAAATTAAAAATTTTGAATGGTGATAAACTTTATTATTGGATAATTCGTAATTACGGAGATGTCCTAATAACAAAGAAAGGAAAGAAAAATAATGGTTTCAAGGAGAATATTGAGATTTGTGATAAGTGTCAATTGTGTTTAAAGAAAATATTGAATTAGGACACTTATCTAGCACAATTTTTTTTTAATAGAATGATAAAATTATGACAAATATAAATAGAATCAAAAAAGGCTTTCAAATGAAGTGATTTTATGGAGTAATGATTTTTTTGATCAATTTTTTCCCTATTTTGTAGAGTTTGGAGATTAAAACAAGAAGAAGTTCCTGGGAGCAAACGGCTTAGCCCTTTTAAAGGGTTGGACACTTTTAAGGCCACAAGCAACCTAAGGAAGCAGGGGACAAAAGGGCTCAGCACCTCTAAAGGGTTGAGCAGTTCGCCCAAGTGGTAAAAATTCAGCCTTGGCCACCCAGGCGCTCAGCGATTCAAGAGAGCTCAGCCCTTGAGGTTTCGTCATGGTGAAGGATTCTTCAAACCGCTCAGCCATTTCCCAGTCGCTAAGCGGTTTCTTCTCTCTCTTGCCTGCTCTGTTTTAATTTCAGCTCATATAAAAGGGTAGAGAGGAGAAACTAGAGGTATCGAAGACTTAACAAAGAAGGACAAGACTCAAGCAGCTGCTCTGGAGCTCGTGGGAACAGAGTTCCTAGGATCAATCTTCTTTTTCTACCTTTCTTTTTGTTGTTTTCATCTTGTGATCTCCTCCACTATGGAGAGCTAAAACTCTTTGGTTGGGATTAACTGTAATCATCGAAATCCCGTGTATTCCTTTTTGATTCATATATATTATATCTATTATTCAATGCCAGTGATTCGGATTCTGTTCTTAATGCTTTGATAAATTGATCATTTATCGTTGATCTTGGATTTAGATTTTGGTTGGGAAATGTTTTCTGAATCTAGTTTTGAAACGAATTACCTATTAATTTCGAAAGCTCGAAATGGTTTCAGAACTGATAGGTTGCAATAAGTTATGATTCTTAATGAGAGACATTTAACTAGATGAAGTGAGGAATCATTCATTGAGTTAAATATCTTAGGATTTCTAATGTCAAGGAATTGGTTTAGAATGAATATAGAGAACTCAATGGTAATGAATAATAGAATTATTTGCAAGAATCATTAGGAATGCATAGGAGGGAGATTGATGAAACTTAATCCTAACTGTTTAATATATCTGCATCTCTTTAAATTTAATTCGGTTTTGGCTTACTTAAGTTTAGTTTATTTCTTTATATCAAATATTTGATGTTGGTGAATATTAAAAATTCGATTCAACAAGTAGCAACTAGTATAGTAAAAATCAATTTCTACTTCACAAGTCCCTAAGAATCGACAACCTTTTATTATATTACAGAGACTTGGGTGTGCTTGTTCAGAATTTCAACAATTTGCTAGAAAATAGTTATTGAGAAACTGGGGTGTCTTTAGACCATATATACATATAAAGAGATAAGAGATCTGTTTACTTCAGGAGTAAACTTATTCCGTTCAATAATTCATGTTCTACATCAAGTTTTAATGATCCAACTATTGAATTTATAGTTCTTAATACATAGGTCAAATTTACAAATTTTAAAAAAATTTGAAGATCATTTAATATTTTGTTTCACTAATTTAAAACTACGTATAAAATGATTTTATAATTATCGTCAATTTGAATTAATGAAATAAAGTATTAAGTAATTTTTAAACTTTTTAAAAAATTGTAAACTTGATCTATACATTAAAAATATTAAATTCAACAGTTAAATTATTAAAATTTGATATAAAACATAACTTATTGAATAGAGTAAGTTTACCTAGATTTATTCATGAAGTAAACGTATCATTCATTATATATATATATATATATATATATATATAACAACATTTATATGCTTTTAATATAAACATTTACACTTAATTTTCCATTTTCTTATTATCATTAGTAATTATTTTATCTCAAATAGACAAATAACATAAAAAAAAAATCAAAATGTACAAGTTATTGTATAATAATTAAAATTTAAAATTTTATGTATTGTTATTATTAAAATTATATTATTGATGTAAATTTTAATATAATTATTATAAAAATTAATAAACTTATTATATGTCATGATTTATTGTTGAGTTATCATTTAAAAACTTTTTAGATCATTAGTGATAGGCTATTTACTTTTATAATTCTCTCTACATATAATTTAAAATAATTATTTTATATGATAGTATTTTGAAAGTTTTTAACGAGAGTATTTTTAGTTATTTTTTCAATAATAACATTTTTTAAGAATTTTTAAATTTTTTCTCTTTTAATTTATTATTTTTATTTTATTTATAAACTAAATTTTAATAATCTTTTAAAAAAATAGTAATGTAATATTGTATCACAATATAAATTATTTTTCACAATTTTAAAATACAATTACCTGATAAAAATCTTTATTTATTATAAATTTTAATTATAATATTATATAAATATAAAGTTTTTATTAATTATATAAAATAAAATTTTATCATACACATTTTAAAAGATAATAATAATAACTAAACTTTACGATACGAAAATACTTATTGTATAGCGATCATGTTTCTAATACATCATTCCACATTTATGTCATTATATGACCATAATTTTGCATTAATATAAAATGAAAAAAATGGTAAAAGTATTTAAAAATCTTGACGAAACTAGTTATATAACTTATATTAAAATAACAAATTATAATAGTATAAATAAAAAATGACGAGGGATTCGTTTATTCTAAGAGTAAGTTTATTGTTCAATAATTCATATTCTATATCAAGTTTCAATAATCCAACCGTTGAATTTAAAGTTCTTAATCCATAGATTCAATCTACAAATTTTAAAAAAATTTGAAAATCATTTGATATTTTATTTTATTAATTCAAATTAATGTATAAAATAATTTTCTGATTATCTTTGATTTGAATTA